AGCATATAAACGCCCAATACGTGACAATGTTCCGATTGCTAAGATATTTTAAACAATAAATAATATGACTTTGTCTTTGAAAACAAATTGAAAGAATAATAAGAAAAAATTTACATTTCAAATAAAACTGTCACTCTCTCTTTCCTTTAAAAAAACTACTAAGCACCCATACATAGTATGTTTCTGATGAAAAATGAACGAATATGCATAACTTTGTGAAACCGGTGAAAACCGGCCGGTCGAACTCACTCAACCGGCCCGGTACGGCACGGGCCCGGACCGGTTACAACTGTGTGTTACAGAATGTTGTTTATAAACAACATTCAGTAGAGTAGCCATCACATTAGACTGACGATAATCGTTAATTGAAAAAATCCATTTTGCCAGTGTTTATTAGCGCAATATGTTCCATCTGCAAATTATTTTTTTAAACACTCTGATGATGATCGGAGTCCATCCAGAGACATGTTTCTTCATTGTAACATCTTCGTTTTTTTCTTTAGACGTACGACAACTGATAGCCCAACTTTGATTTCTTTTCTTTGATTTTTCAGCTTTAAGAAACCGTCGTAGTGATAATACCAATGTTGGAGACGCACCAATTGAACATTATTCTGAATCGGAGAGCACCGAGGAAGAGAACGATGAAGGCGAAAGTAAATATGCATCAAATTAAAAATCTTCATAAATAAGTTGAATATTATCGTGTTCGTTTTCGAAACAATGTACGACATGATGATGGCGATGCTAGCTCACTCTGATCACTTACGAATAAAGCTTTAAAAAAATTAACGCAAAATTAGTTACATAACTCCCATCCTTTTTTCATTCTAACAGATTCTCTCATTTTTTGTGCTCCACTAAAAGAAAATCTGAAAGATTGTTGTTTTTAAAAACCTCAATCGGCTTGTTGTTTTGGAAGACAGGTCTAAATATACGGTATTTGCTCTATAAATCTATATAAGTCTAACGAGGAATGATCCCCAACTGATAAATCGCTTTTTCAACGAAACCGACTGGACTATAGGTAGTCGACGATGCTGATTCCGAATACCACCATGA